GTTAATGATCAGAGTGTTTAAATAGGTAACTCACAGGTGAGTTGCAGGTATGGCAGCATAGTGTAGAACCAACAGATAGTCGATCATCTGTATAGTAGACTACTTAAATTAAACAATGACTAAAGTTGTATGTATAGCTTGTTGTACACTCATCATGTAATTATAAAACCTTAGGAAACTGTTCATGTGATAGTTCTGTAATAACAAACTAATAAAATCTAATCGGCCAAGGAAGTAGCTTTAATAACAAAAAAAAAAAAAAAAAAAAAATCAACTTGTAGGTCTAGTGACCTAGTATAGTAGTTAGATTATCAGACTACTATGCAATAGATCTGGAGTTCAAATCCTACTATCAATGAATTTAAATAATTTCTTAGACTTTATGATATATTATAGTAAATACTATTCATTTCTGAAAGTATACTTCTATAAATTGAGTTGTATCAAATTGATCAGAACTTAGAAGTATAATATAATATTATATAAATAAATCTTGATAAAATATATAAGCAGAAGATCTGTATAGTAGAAATTCTGAGTTAGTAAGATAATACAGCATTCTAACAGAACTACATCAGTTAAAGTTTAATTCAGAAAGAAAACTTAGTCTAATAAAAGTAGAAGGTTTCGAAATCTCTAGATGAAAAGTAACTAGAACTATTTGAATACTAGAAAAGAACTAGATTAACTAACTAGTAGAGGACTATAGTAGAATCTAGAATTGTACAAATATCTACAAAAGTTTAAACTAAATAAATCTATAAAATAAGTATAGACTACTCTAGTAGATTTGCTTTAAGGTTAACTAGCTATACAATACTAGCAATACATCTGCTATAATATATTTTGAGAAAACCTAAGCAATTCTGAATAAATAGATTTATAATGAGCTAGCTAACTTAAATAGTTAAATATTGAGTGATATTAGATTAGATCTGTATAGGTTAATGAATAGAATATTTAAATAGGTAACTTACAGACAGGTTACAGATATAGTAGCATAATATAAAACTAATTTGATAGCCTAATATTTATGCAGCAGACTACTTAAAATAGACAATAACTAAAGTTATACATATGGCTTATTATACACTCTTCATATAATTACAAATAGTAGAGATTATCAATATATAATCCTGTTTGCAACTCTAATAAAATTCTTTTAGCAATGTAAGCTACCTTTAACAATAAAAAAAAAAAATAAAATCAACTTGTATAAAATATTACTTAACCAAATAACTAATATTTTAAATATATTGATTTTAAACAATATTTCTTTTCAAACTATTCTTCAAATATTTACTTATAACAACAATTTTCAAAATCTAACAAATACCTTTCTACTCTTCATTTAAGATATTATTCTAACTACCTACTATAACTAAACTAATTCTCTAATCAAGAAAACAACTAATAACTTTTTCATCAAACTTTTTAACTTTCTACTTCTCTAGTTCAATAATAAAATCTAGAATAACAAAAATCAAATTTACTATAAATAGAAAGCTACTTATAGTATTTTTCAAAAAATCAAAAAAAATACAAACCAAATATATTTTCCACAACCTATATTTACTTAAACTACTACTATAAATTATAATTCTAAAATAGATACTTATATTCAAAAATGCTTACTTCAAAACTTTTTTATATATAATTGTTTTTTCTAATTAATTTTTTTACTCTTTTCTAGAGGTCTTCTTTAATCTCTTCTATAGTTAATAGTAACTATTATTTAAATTAGCTAGTAAATAGAAAATGAAGATATAATATCATATTAGATGCCTAATTATTAATAAATAGTTTTAGTAACAACAATACATATTAGGAATACATACTAGCTTCATATATATACTATCTTGATATATAAATATACTAATATTTTTCTAATTGATATTATTAATTAATAAAAAAAAAAAATGTACAATATTTTTTGTTTTTAAAATTGTCAAATCAAAAAAAAAACAAAACAAATATTCATTTTAAAAGTATCTGATTTTTATTTACTCAATTTATAGTAATCTATTCAATATTTATAAAAAAAAATATTAAAAACTATTGAAAAAAAACTTTAATTATACAAAAAAAAAAACACAATACTTCAAAATTAGAGATGTTATCATACTTAAAATACTCAAACTGCTTAAAGAAACTTGCTTATTATTTCTATGATTACTTTTTAATATACTGTATATCTAATTAAACTTATTTATAATATTTTTAAGAACATATTTTATTAATGGCAGTCAATAATTTAGCTCAATTTAAAGAAGAAATTACTATTTTAATGTTTAAAAACCCTGTTTATGAAACCGGTTTGCTTAAAACTGCTCGAAAGCAATTATTCATTTCAAGCATGATTTTTTAATTATTCTCTACTAATCAAAATTGTTATTAACATCTTTTCAAATGAAGTACGAAAAATTATTTAGCAAGTTATTTTGAAAGTTAATTTAGGCTACATGAAGCAGAATAACATTCCTATCCAAAATATCCAAAAATATTATAACGTGACTAACCTATAAATTATATTAATGATATTCATTTGTAAAAACTATTTGGTATTATATTATAAAGGTATATATTTATTTTACATTTATCGTTTATGTTTGAAATATAATTTATACAGTATCTAATAATAATAATGAAGTGATGTTGATAAAAACAAAGGCAACAAAAGCAACAATGTTTGATAGGGGCCTGCAAATTAAAATTCTTTTGCCAGCCCGGCCCGCATATATATAAAATTTTCTTCACGCTGGCCTAACCCAGCCTAGCGCACTCTGCATTGGCCCGCAGTTATAAAATTTTGCTTCAGGCCCGGCTGTGGGACCCAATGCAGGCCTCTAATGTGTGATACTCAAAATTTCACTTTGATAGTTTAAATTTTAATTTTACCGATTGTAACAGTAAAGTTAAAATTTTCTTAAATAATTAAAAACTTTGATGTAAGTTACATTTTAAAATTTTGTAATAGCTAGCTGGGTTGTTATTTAAAGGTAATATCCTGACTGTGTTTAAAAACTATAGAATACTTTTCATAGTAAAAAAACTGGTATATTTTACTTTATAATATACTGAGTTTTTATCCGAACTCAGTTCGTCCCTGTTCGAAACCTGAACAAGTTTAACTCGAGTTTTTTGATCACGTGAATTTAATTATGTAAAAATTAACTAAATTGTGTTCAATTGAGTTCGAAATCAATCTTTAGAGCAAAAGCTTCAATTTAAACTCTTAAATTAGTTGTTTTTTTCAAACCAACATGCTTGTTTATAGCACATGTATACAAAAAATTCAATGTTTATGGAGCAGTGTTAGTTCGGGTTTCCAAGCACGAACTAACCAATTTAAGCCCTAATTAAAAATATACTACGTATTGGTTGTAAATTTCCTCCTGATAAAAATCATGTGAGAGTTGAGACGTCATTTTCTAGTTTAATCTTTTTATCTTCATAAAGGTTTGTTCGTAAGAGTAAAGCATAGTTGAAGTTTGTTTTTATTGATCAGTTATTTCTAAGGTTTAACATTGGCCGGCTCAGGACCGGGCAGGATCGACATTTTAAACTATCATCCTAGAGATAAAACGACCTACTGAAATAGTGGCCATTTATGCGTCATACACCATTGTTTAAAGTGTCTTTTTTGATGCTTTAATATAATGTGAATCAAGGACAATATTTTATAATTGGCCACCCGGCTCATCCCTAGAACGTGACAAACAGCAACGAATAAATTAATCTAAAAACCAAATACGTACTAAACAAAATTATACTTAATCAAATACTGTACGTAAATAAAATAAAATACCTTAACTTGTATTATAAATAGCGCCAACAACGTTAATACTGTACTACATGCGGATTGATGAAAGTGTTACAAGATAATTCAAAATTAAAGTAGGCCAATAATTGATAATCAATATATCAATATTATTTGTACTTTCTGCTTCGATACATAAATCAAAAAAATAAAAATAAAAAAATGTTCTCTCCTTTTAGTAGTAGTGCTTCACAACAAACTGTAAATCAACAAAATGTCGCAATGGCCGAGCAAGAACTTGAAATGCTTACTGATACATTTTATCGGTACATAGACATGTTTTTTTTTTTTTTTTTTTTTAATTTACTTAAAATGATTCAAACTAAAATATCAAATGATAGGATTGTCGATTCATGTTATAAAAAATGTATCCCACCAAAATATACCGAAGGCGAATTAAACAAAGGTGAATCTGTTTGTATTGATCGCTGTGTCTCTAAATTCTTTGATGTTAATGCAAAAATCGGAGAGGCGATACAAAAGAAGGGTCAACAGTCTGGCATAGGTGGTTCAGTTACGGGATTTGGTGCATAATTGATTACAGTAAGTACTTAAAACATCAATTGTATTTATATAATAAAAAAAATTATTTGCAAATAACGATTGCATTATATTTGTCAAACAATATGTTATAATATTATCAAAAAAAAAAAAAAAAAAAAAAAAAAAAAAGGAAAAAAAAAGAAGAAAAAAAAAAAATTACCCATAACGATAATATAACATTCGTTGTAAAAACGATATACAAATAATATTGTTACCTATTACTAGTAATTAATGTGTCATTGTTCGAATGGGAATTATACCTAACCTAATATTATATATATATTATATGATAAACAAATTGTTAAATTACTTACCTAATCTTATAAATTTATCAAAATGCTAAAGAAACTTTTTGCGATTTGAAACATTATAGTCTCAAAATCAACAATAACGGCATCACCTTTATTAACAATTAAGAACGACAGACAACATATCGCCATCCTCCAAGTCTGTATCCTCTAGTTTATCAGTAACAGATAACACTTCATCTTCAAACTTTAATTTCATGTCAATATTGTCCGGGATATCTCTGATTTTTTTGTAATGGTCAATAACGGCTTGTATTGTTAAAGTCTAATAACAACAAAATTATGATGTTGATTGATTAGTAAACAAATAAATATATATTTTTTTTTTTTTTAAAACAAAAGAGTATAATAACTACCTTTTTTATCTTCAATTTCTCAATTGAATCATCTTTGCTTAACAACTTCAGATGAAGATAATTACAATTATTCATTTGAAATATTTTTTCAGAATTATCCAAAACAGACTCATTTCCTGTTGAATCATCAGAAAACAAATGTGACTCTCTCTCTATTTCTTCTAACATTCTAAGTTTTAATAGATCATTTCGTTCTTTATAATAATTGTATGTATCTTTGGTGAACACCTCTAATATAAAAATTATGATTAATACGGATCTCAATAAGAATTTTTTACAATAAACACGTACCCATATGCGCATGACCAGACATTCCTAAACTTTCTGGTGTGCTACGCGGAAATACTTTCACTTTTTTATATGTCAGAACTATATCTTGTTTCCCTATACTTCTTTTTTCACATATATTCTTTATCATTCGCTCGAAATTATCTTGCTAAAATAAAAGTATAAAATGTAAAATACTATATGCATAAATATATTGTATATTATTGTGTTTTCTCTTTTATTTAGCAAATACATACAGCTTTCATGATAAATTTAATAGGCTTTTCGAATTCAGCTTGTGCTATTCTATTCGTATCTGTAGTATTGATACCTGGATGACGAACGGGAAGTACCATTATCTCAACTTTAGAATCAACATATCTAGTTGATTTTCCATTCGGCAGGTTAATAGACTGTTGTTGAATAGCTAAAAGTTCAGGATCTAACTCTATATCATCTTGTGGCTCGGAAGATACACCTGGCGAACCGACGTCAGCGCTTTCGGATCGAAGGCCTTCCAAATATTGAGAAAGTGTCGCTCTATGCGAGAATTTTTAAAAAAAAAGCAAAAGTGAATAAAAATAGTGAGACAAACAAACAAACGATAAGAAAATACCTTAACGTGCCAACCGTGGTTCTTAGTTGATATTCGTTAAGTTCAGGTGGAGGTGTTAAAGATGGTTCTCTATCTGAAATCACTTTTTCGTCATTAATTCTATTCTTTTCCATGGCCTCATCTGAAAAATCTCTGAGTATGTCCAATAAAATCTCATGAATTGATTTCATAATATGAAAAATAAAATTTCGGTGCAAATACTTACGAAAGATCATTTGTATGATCGCTGGTATTATAAATATCGATTGGATCCTCGGATAATGTCCAATCCAAACGTGGAGCTTTTCGCTTAGGTTTTGAATGTTTAAGTCGAGTCTCCTTTTCTTCACTTTTTGATAGATCGTCGTCAAAATTATTTTCCTCAGACTCTTTGAGATTTTTTATGGGTACTATGACACGTAAATAAGGTGTAAATATTATAAACAAAACATGGAAAGTTGGTAAGATTAACAAGAATACAAACTTGTTTTTTTAGTGGACGCGTTCCAATTGAAAGAAGATTGTCGTGTAAAGAAGCCGTCTTCCTCGTCATCAGATATTTTTAACTTTTTCGGTTTACTCGGTGAATCAGGTAAATCGGTATTGTCAATTACATTTTGAGTTTGTAGGGTATTACTAGTTACAACTAATTCAACGTGTCGCGGCTGCGGTTTAATTGTTCGTGGTTTTATCTTAACGGCTTGACGTTTTGGAACTACTTCTTCTTCGGACGAAGACATCGACATTTAGCAGTCAACGAAATCTATGCAAACAAGAAACGGACTTGTAATAAAAACCGATGCAATAATGGATATAAATGACAACTGGTGTGACAAACTAGTGTCCGATACCCTCCGTCCGTGATAGAGTATTATAAAATCGTAAATTTAAATGTTTTCTCAACGTTAATTCGGTAATTATAAATTAGATTTGATACGTATAAACAATGAACAAAAACATTTCGTGCTACTTTTTTAAACAATCGCTATTTGCAAACATAAGAATAAAATTTTTCTTAGTTAAAATATTTAATACGTATACGACCGCTAATCTCAAGATTTTCGGTCATACGTACAAGTTCTGGTGGGTCTGATCAGCTTTTCCAAAATACCGATACGGTAATAATTGCATTGTTTGAATAATAGTGTTTTCAAAGCGTTGTTTATACGTAGCGGTAGTAAATTCGGCTAATATCTATCAGCTATGTAAATTTAGTTATTTTATAAGCTAAACTAAATTTGATTTTTGTTAAATCTATGCTAATAATGATTTTGATGTATTTTTTTATACAAGTCACTCTCGTTATAGTAAAGATATCGGGACACACCATTTTCTTCATTATATCAAGAGATTCACTATAATAAGAGTCTCTCGATATAGTGAACTTCATATATAATAAATAAAATATTCATTATATCGAGAGTAAAAATAATGCAGTATAAAATATACCAAAGATACAAATTTAAATATGTTATTTTATTTATTCGAATAAAGATATAATTCCAATTTAATTACATAATTCCAATCTTGATTTCTTGTATTTATAAATCATGCATAAAAAAAAGAAATTAAAATTTTCATTAGGATAATTAAAATCTTTGGAATTAAAAATAAATATTAGTGTTTCGCTAGAATATTGTACTGTAGCAGTTTTATAAAATGTAGTCAGAGTATGGTCTTTATTCAAACTAGTTAATCGATATTTGAGAATGATATATACCAAAAATACAAGACTTGGGCATTAAAGGTAATTTTAATATGGCTTAAATTCTAGAGGTACTAAAATAACATCTATAAACATGATCAAAAATATAAATTTCAATTAGAAAAAATTTATATAAGAAATATTGATCAAATATTTCATGATCAAATAATTGGAATTGAACAATTGTATAACATTTAATTCCTTTTAAAGAAAGGAATTAAATGTTATAAAATAATTCAACTTAAACACTAGGTTATTAAATATTTATCTACTGAATTATTTTCTCTTTTATCTACATAATATACTTTTACTTTTTAGTACACAATATTTCAAATGTCAAAGTCAAAGTATGCTATCAGCATCCTAGATTATCCTAAGTTAAAATCAAAAAAAATACTTCAAAGTCTTTTTTTACAATTCTTATATCTTTTCATAGTTATTTATATTTTTTATAAAAAAATCAAATATATGCATTTTGTTGAATATGCATATATTTTTTTTTAACTGACTAGTTTTATTATTCTAATTTGGAGGAAGATGATACTTTGTAGTACTATCACATCTATAATTTTCTATTTTTTTTATTTTTCTTTTATTTTATTTTTAGTTTTATTATTTGTTTTTTTTTAACTTAGGTGATCTTGCCTTTCATTTATTAAGAGAAAACATATATAGTGTTACAACAAAAATAAAACTAATTTATATTAGCTATATAACTACCCTCTTTTTCTAATTCTGAACTCACTTGGCTGCCCTAGATGCCTAAGTATGATCAGTTGCAAAAGTGATTTTCCTCCTACTTTTAGTTTTATTATTTGATTTAGTATTTATTTAGTATATTTGTTATAGTTTTTATTTATTTTGTTTAGTTTTTGTATTTGTTACTCTTACAGAATGCTAATAGCAGTATAGATGAGTTTTATTATTTGTTTAGTATAGTATTTTATTATAGTTTTATTAGTAATAGTTTTATATAATAATTAGTTATAGTTTTTGGTTATATTATATAGAAAATTGTAGAATAGTCTAGAATGTTATAGAATTATAGAATGTCTCAGAATATTTTGGAATCATGTAACAACTTCTAGAATTTTATAGAATGTTCTAGAACCTTTTAGAATTTTCTAGGTATTATTAATCAATAATTAGTAATATATAATATCTTAATATTATATGAAGAGTATCATGAATACCACCTTTAACACTATGAATACTGTAGCTAAAAATAACTATTAGTCTACTTAAACACTACAAACACTAACATAGATTACTAATTCTTAGCAACTAAAGAATATAAATACAGGCTTTTTTTTTCTTTATCTCAACAGGATATAGAATTAAAATAATAATAGTTTTTAAAACAAGATAAATAATAATAACTCTTCTAAATAATAACTACTCTCTAGTTCTTAACAATAAATAATATTTTAATATCTATAGTTTTCTTTTAGGCAAATTCTTGCGCTTTATTTCTTTATAATTTTTTTTTATTATTTTTGGTTTCTTTAGATTTGTTATTAGAAATAACAGTTTTTTTTTCTTTTATTTTTGATTTTATTAATTTTAGTTTTGTTTGTTTATTAATAAATAAACTGGTATCTTGAATAATAACTGTAAAAAACCTTTTGTTACCTAAAAATTTGCAGATTAATAAAGAACTGCTTGTAACAATTGGTGTCTTCTTTTTTTTTTTTTTAATTTAAGCAATTTTACTTTTTATTTTATTAAAAACATTATATACTATAACAACTAAAAATATAATATTACAAAAAGTCTTAAACTAATATAATAAAAATTCTTTCTCTGTTACAATTCCAGATTTACTTGGCTACCAATATAAACCTAAATAAGTTTAGTAGGTATCCAAGTGTGATCTACTGCAGAAATCAGTTTTTCTTTCCTTAGTAACTCCTATATAGAGAATATTATCCTTAGATCAAAAAAAAGTGACTTCAAGCCTATATCAAGATTCTAGATCCTTCTTAATCTAACTAAAGCTAAGCTAACAGTAGTTAATATCTAGTCTCAAGATAAAAAAAAATAAAAATTATTACTAAACTAAAAGCATAAATGTTTACTAACAAAGAAAAACTTGTCTCAAGTTGTAAAAACTTTGTTAGACAATAATATAAAAAGGACAAAATATGAGAAAAGAAAGGAACCAGTAATTAAGTATCCTATAATCTAAATCAAACTTAAAAATTTTAAGTTGTACAACTTATAACCTATCTCAAATAATTTTCTTTCTAATATATAATCTATTCCTAGTATCTGTACTTTAATAGTTTTGTATTATCTTTTCCTAGAGTTTGTAGTACCAAGATTATATAACAGACTAAACAATAAACAAAGTATATAACTTTATTTACTGTATAAAGTTGCATATCCACAGGTTTTTCTAAAAATAGAAGATATAAACAATGTTGATCTTTTGTAGAAAAGAATCTAGATTCTCTACTTTCATTGAAAAAATTAGAAAACTAAAGAGAAAAAGCTTGTAATATATTTAAGGTCTAAAGGTATATGTAGACAAAATAATTTATTGTTTGCTTTCTTAAGACTTCTTTTACTAACTTTGTTAACAAAGAGCTTTTTTGTATCTTTTTACTAAAATTTTTTATACAAAAGCTTTATTTGCTAGTTATTTTATATAATATCACTTTTAGCTTGCATATTAAATATTCAAAAGAGTCTCTAATAGCAAATAGTTGATCTCTGTAAAAACTGTTGTATTGTAAAAATAACTTCTTTATTTTCTTTTAATAAATTTTTTGTTTTTTCAAATTTTTGAAAAAAAAAACATCAGAAAGAGTTAAATGATTTCAGTTGACAATTAGTACTTTCTAGTATAATACAAATTATTGAAATATTAGATAATTAAATAAATGCTTTCTCAGCTCATATTCTTACAACTTGAAAACATGATCAGCTATATATCTAGAACTTAAATATTATATCTAAAATATATACTAATATCTCTTGTCACCTCTGTTATCCTTTTAAAGCCTCAACAAATCTCAGTAATTATATTTAATTTGAAAGCTTTTAGGCTTAGTTTTCTGTTAAATATTCTGCTCTTTACTACATATTATATACTCAGAACTACTTTCAAGCTCTTACTAATAATCCTAATATCCAAATACCTGAACTTTTATTACACATCTCTTTCTAAGTATTTGATACTTTGAGAAACCTAAGTCTTATAATTAAGTTTAACAGAAAATATATACTGTTCTTACCTTAACAAACAGTTTTAATAATAACTTCTTTGATATAGTTTATAATATAAATAAAACTGCTAATTCATAAACAGCTGAATATCAAATTGCATAATCAAATTTATCTGATGAGGAAGAAGATTTTGATTTCGAATTACTCTTTAATTAACTAGAACCACAACAATTACCTTCTAATCACTACTACAAGAATATATAGCTTAACCTAACTAACAAAATTATCAGGATCTTATTAATGCTATCAACTAATTGATAGCTACTTTGTCTAATACTACTAATACTCTAACTAACAATACTAATACTATTAATAATTCTTTTAGAAAAGAGATTTAAGTAATCAATTTACTTTACTTTTATAGTAAAAATCAGGATCTTATAACTTGGCTCACTAAATTTAACAAAGCCTATAATACTAATAGAATTACTGATACTAATAAGCTTCAAGTTGTACCTGTATATCTCAAAGGAGCTACTATTACTTGATAGACTAAAAACTAAGCTTTGGCTAACAATAATACTAATAGAATCAAATAATAGAATAATAGTAATTCTGCTCAAAACACTAACTTCATCATTAAATTCCTTGCTGCCTTTTATTCTCAAACCTTAGTTGAAATTTAGACTACTGAACTTGAACATCACCAATAACACTATAGTAAATCTGTTGATGACTATGCTATTACTCTCTTAGAATTGTATAGAAGAGTAGAGCATAGACCCTTCTAATTTTCTGCTTACTTTAAAGCTCACAAATTTGTAAATAGACTTTTATCTGAACTATATATTAATATCAAACTTC